CCCAGCCCTCTGTCCGCCGGCCGAGCTGGGGGCGAGCAGAGCGGGACCCGACCACCTCCGCCCCTGCAGCGCAGCCCGTCCCGTCCCTCTCCATCCCGCCAGGGATCCCGGCGCCTCTCCCAGCGCTGCCCCCTCCCGTCCCGACCCTCCCAGCCCCGTCCCCGCTCACCTCCGGGCCGCCAGGAGAGCACCCGCCGCCAGTCCGCCCGCTCCCAGCGCCGCTCGGCCGCGTCCCACGGGAAACTCCCGGGGGCGGGGAAGGGCGCAGGTAGCACCGCCCGCCCCTCGCCGAGGGCGGGGGACCGGGGCGGCCCCGGCCGCGGTTTCTATTTCGGTTTCCCGGCAGAGGACGGCCAGCGCCGCCCTGTCCCGGCCCGGCCGTAACCCCGGCCAGCGCTCGCCTCCTGCCCCGGCGGGGGCATCGCCCGGCGGCGGCGGTTCGTCCCCGGCGGGGGCATCACTGAACCCCTCTCCTACAGCCCCTCGTGTTCCCGTGTGCACATAGAGGGGATCCCTCAGCTGCACGCATTCATCAAGTTTAAGCATTATCTGAATCAAACCAGCTGACACTCGGGTGGAATTTAGGACGACAATTTTAAGAATTTGTTACTGGCAGTAGGATTAAAACACTGCAGGACACGGTAGTGTGAATTTGGCAATTGCTAAAGTTGGGCAAGATTACTTTTTATTTCTCATCAAAAAGGCAGTAACTGTTGCAGAACTGTGCTACCCAGTAGCTCTTCTTCAGTCAGTTCATTTTTAAAGAGACAAGTAGCACCCTTACCAAAACCAGCTGCCACAGCATTAGGAGCTGATGAGTTGAACTTGTCTCAAGGTGTCAAAAGACAAGATGCATTTTCTGTTTATTATCTGCAGTTTAATGACTATCTGCTCACTGAAGTCACTTTCATTATAAAGTTTCAGGACAAACATTCACCTCAGGCTTCAGTGTTTACTAGTTCATACAAATCCTTTTCTGTTGATATGATCCAGACACACTGACTCCCTTGTTAAAGGTTTTATGTTTGCTACCTCTCCTATGTTGTTCAAAATGGTCCAAAGTATGTCACAAATGGCATTCTGAAATGTGCAGGGACTTGGACTCACTACAGGACTTCCTTTTCTTTAGCATCAAAGCTATGTAATGTGGAACACTGCTAGCAGGGTTAACCTTTGCTCACACACCGTGTCTTCTCCAGACTATACAGATCACAAATACGCTGGCAAGCCTCCACAAAGAAATATGTGTGTTGTTTGTTGAGTTTGACCTTGTTCAACCCAGTGCATTTGCTAAAAAATGTCTGTGAGAAAAAGGTAAGAAAGCTGAAGATTATTAAAGAAAGACAAAAGAGAGGAAGAAAATTAAGGGAACTGAGGAAGAAGTTAAGCTATAGGAGAGGCCAGGCCAAGGAAAGGGTGGAATTGGCAGCACCTTGAAAGTGGGAGGTTAAGGAGGCTGAGTAACACATCCTTAACGTGCAGCACCTCTCACGCTAGGGTACTTGAGGTATCCTCTTTCAGGAACTTGCTTGTGCTATTAGTTTCCCCAAACCCACAATTAATTTTAATGAAACCATTTTCTTTTTTTAGACCAACTTCAAAGGGGGAAAGAGGAGGAGTTTCTCTTTCCACATCAATGAATTTAGGCAGGACAAGTCATAGGATTCCAGAGGAAACTCACCAGAGAGAGAGGGAGGAAACACAAGCTTCTGCTCCATGGTATGCATATGTAGGATATAAATTGAATGGCTGTATTTTAGATCAATCTACTCTGTCTTAATGATCATCCTGGGATACAAACCCAAGATCATTAGATCACAGCAGTTATTTACAGACCCTGACTTAGTAGGAGGCTACCAAGACAATATAGAGCTCTGCAGTGAAGACCTACTAACACACAAAGTAGCCACACGGTCCCTAACATACACTACAGATGCGCCCACATGTTTTATATAAATGTCTGTTTTTAAATACTAAAGAAAATGACTTTTTCTTCAGTCCATACCAGGGGAACCATGCTGCAGGCCAATAACTACTTGCTGGGCACCCTGCAGCTCTCTGCCCCAACCACTGCATTTTTGATCCCACAGAACATGTCCTGGCATGGGACTAGACAAACAGAATCACAGAATCAATTAAGTTGGAAAAGACCTCTGAGATCATCAAGACCAACCTATGAATGAACGCTGAGTGCCACGTCCAGTCTTTCCTTAAACACTTCCAGGGACAGTGACTCCATTCCCTCTCTGGGTAGCCTGTTCCAATGTCTAATCACCCTTTCTGTGAATAAATTCCTCCTAATATTCAATCTAAACCTCCTCTGCCCCTTAAGACTATATCCTGTCATCCTGTTGCTAGTTGCCTGGGAGAAAAGGCTGACCTCCACCTGGCTCCAACCTCCTTTCAGGTGGTTGTAGAGTGTGATAAGGTCACCCCTGAGCCTCGTCTTTAGGCTAAATACTCCCAGCTCCCTCAGCCACTCCTCAATGGATTTGGGCTCTACACCCTTCCCCAGCTTTGTTGCCCTTCTCTAGACTCGCTCCATCTCAATGTCCTTCCTGAATTGAGGGGCCCAGAACTGGACACAGTACTTGAGGTGTGGCCTCACCAGTGCCAAATACTGAGGAAGAATCGCTTCCCTAGTCCTGCTGGCCACACTATTCCTGGTACAGACCAAATGGTTTACATCCCCTTTTCAAGTAGCCAGTCTGCCAAAACCTACATTAGGTCCCCATCACCTTGGCCATGCGACCCTTTGGGTTCACCTCCACACCCACTCTCACCCTCCTGCCCTTGGCTGGTGGGGCTCAAGCAAGGGGTCAAAGCCAGCCCTGGCCTGGGCTGTGGGCAGCTGCCTGACCTGTGTAAGAAAGCACCCACAGCCCATACCTCAGGCCTGGCTTGGGAAGCTCACAGAGTATCTTGAATTGGAAGGAACCCACAAGGATTATCGAAGTCCATCTCCTGGCCCTGCACAGGACAGCCCCAAGAATCACGCCATGAGCCTGAGAGCATTGTCCAAACACTTCTTCAACTCTGTCAGGCTTGGTGCTGTGACCCCTTCCCCAGGGAGCCTGTTCCAGTGCCCAACCACTCTCTGGGTGGAGAATATTTTCCTAATATCCAACCTTAATTCTCTCCTGACACAGGTTCGTGCCACTCCCTCAGGTTCTGTCAGCGGTCACCACAGAGAAGAGATCAGTGTCTGCCCCTCTTCACCCCTCACGAGGAAGTTGTATCTGCAGTGAGGTCTCCCCTTAGTCTCTTCAGCTGAACAGACCAAGTGCCCTCAGCCGCTCCTCATACGGCTTCACCTCCAGGCCCTTCACCGTCCTTGTTACTCTCCTTAGGACGTTCTCTAATAGCTTAATGTCTTTTTTATACTGTGGTGCCCAAAACTGCACACAATATTCAAGGTGAGGCCGCACCAGTGCAGAGCAGAGTGGGACAATCCCCCACCTGGACCGGCTGTCGATGCCCCCCAGGACACGGTTGGCCCTCCTGGCTGCCAGGTCACACTGCCGACAACTCAGTTTGTTCCCTCTGCGTGCAGCAGGCAGCTGTCCGCACCCTGGGGCTGGCTGCGTAGGTTTGCTCCCTGCCGCCAGAGCTCTGCACGCCTCGGGCAGCAGCAGCAGCCGCAACAGATCCCTCCCCCGCCCGCCGGCACTGCAGGGCCGGCCCAGCCCGCGGGGCCGCTCCGCGCCCGACGGAGCCAGGCTGAGCCTCGGCGGCCGCCGTGGAAAGCGGCGCCTGCGCAGAGCGGCGCGGCCGTGCGGGCCATGGCGCTGTGGCTGCTGCGGCGACGCCTGCGCCTCCCCGGGCCCGGCGGCCGCGGGCACGCCCGGCTCGGCCCCTCCGGCGCCGCCGCCGCACAGCCCGCTGCCGAGGAGCCGGCCGAAGGTACGGAGGGGCTGCCGCGGGCCTCAGGGCCGTGCAGGGCCGGGCAGCATGGCGGGCGCTGCCGGGGCGCATGGGGACGGGAGCGGCCGCCTGTCCCGCCTGTCCCGCCTGTCCCGCTCGGCCCCGAGAGAGGCGCCGGGGCAGTGCCGGTGTCCCGGGCAGGAGGAGCTCTCAGGGCCCGGGCAGACCGGCCGGTCTGTACCTTCCCGGGTGCAGCCCGAGGGGCAGAGTCCGCTGTCAGTGCCCGGGGCTCGATTTATTTACCTCACCTAGAGGTAAATCAGGTGACAGAGGTTGTCCTGGGAGACCCTCTCAGAAAGGCGTAGGAAAGGCGTGACTGATGCGGTGTCTTTGGTGCAAGCCAAGAACTGGTGAGGACTGTCCATTGCTGCTGTGCTGTAGCAGTTCATGTGGGTGTGAGCCGGAGGCTTGTGCTTGCGTTCATGTTTCACAGCTTGAAAACGTGAAGTAGCGAGCGTTTCTTGAAGAGAGGAGACGATGAGGCAGTATTATCACAGCTTCTCAAAGCCAACAAGTCTTTTGCTGTTTATATCCTTGTACTGGCAGATGTGCAGCAAAGTGGATTAAGAAACAACTCCACATTACAGTTAATCATTCTTGTTTTGCTGCATAACTTTGATCATTAGTCTCATCTCGTTTGCTGCATGACTGCGGAAATGATTGCATTAGCATCAGCATGCAGAGAGCAGCATATGGAGGATGGGGCTGTTTCTTTTAGCAGCAGTGCTGGTGTATGCATCTTTAAAATGACTGTGAAACTCTGGCACTAACCGGAAGTGTTTTGTGGAACAGGGGAAGAAAGCAGACCGCCTGTCATGCCTTTGAAATGCTTACAACCACCATTTGGATGTGAACACGTGAATTTGTGCCATGCTCAGACTGTGCAAAGGACAGAGCCAGAAGATGTCAGAGTGCATCTGCTGTAGTAACTTAAGTGTGTACAGGCAGTAAATCAGGCAAGAATCACAACCATTCTGGCCTAATGCAGAGGGCTATGAGAGTGAGAAGATCTGGTTTTACCTCCTGATCATGCAACTCATCCATGGGACTTGTGCTTTCTGCATCTTGGTTACTTCACCCTTCTCTGCTCCTATGGAAACGAGGCTGTGTGTCATCTTCGTAAAGTGTTTCATTGGTCTTCTGATGAAAAATGGTCTAAAAAACTAAGCCATTGAAACAACTACTTTGGTGACTATTTACTAGCCTCCATGAGAGTTCAATAGACTTACAAAATAAAAGATTTTAAAAAAATAAATAAAAGTAATACTAACAAGTATCATTTCATGATAGTTAAGATTTTCATGAGGCCACTACATCACATGGGTTCCTCAATATCAAAAACATAGAATAAGGAGCTCTCTGTTGAATCTTCCTGCGGCAGATAGTGCTGGGAAATGCTCCCCAACTTCCCAATCTGAATGTCAGTATTAATAGGTAGCAGCTTCACAGGCTCTGCTGATGTGATGTGGTCAATGGATTAGTTTGAGAGTTATGCAGGGAAGTGATTATAATTTTGGATTTGGGTCATGGCCCCCTTGCCTGTATGCAATGAGGAAAAAAGTTTCCATGTTTCTGAATGTTTGGGATGTCTTGATTCCATGTGGATTCTGTAGGCTGTCAGCAACAGTACAGGTTGCCAGTAGTGTGGTGAGATACAACTGATCTGTGGGTTTATTGTAGTGGAGCAGATGAAAGTGTTTTATTAAATGAAATTTTTGAGTAGGAGTTTACTGTAAAGGAAGGTGCTGAGTTGTAAAAATAGCAAGTGTTGAAATGTTCCGAAGGTAAAAGTGCTGGTTTTGTGGTAGCAGAGAGAAGTTATGTTTTTAGTGCAGCTTGCCAAAGGTCTGCCTCATAGCCTAGCTGACAGTTCCAGGCTCTTATGTGTGTGCTAAGTTTTTTGGTGGTGAACAGCAAATTAAAGAACAAAGACTCCTTGTATCATCAAGCTTCCCATGGCATCAAGGGAAGTCAGTATTGCTTTCTTCCTACATTTCCTACTCCTTATTATTACAAATCTATGCATTTGTGACAGAAATACACTTATATTTCAGTCTTTTATTATTTCTTTATGGTTTTCTCTTTTGCGCCATCTTGGAGAACCAGGACAAACATTTATTCGATTGTTCAATCCAGAGGAAGAGATTAAGTGTACTAAAAATCAGTTTTACACCTTTCTGTTTATGTAGAAGAACCTTGATGCTCATTTCTTCTTACAGATGCTGAAGTCAGTACCAGAAAGAAGACATTCACTGAGGTCCAAACAGAACGACTGGATCAAGCTGAACGGACTGTTTTAATTAAGTGCCCATCAAAACTTAATGAAAAAAAGTTATTGCAGTATTTATCCAGTCATGGACACGTTAGAAGTCACTTCTTCTTTGAAAATCGTGTAAGTAATTAACAGTGTGAACTAAAATCTAGACTTAGATAAAAAGAAATACCGGCATTTGGTTATGTCCTCATACATGCAAGTTAAGCAAATTATATATAATTAGTATATTAAATCATTTTTTATCTGTGCTAATGTTTACAAGTTGCTCAGCAGCAGATTTTTATTCAGAAGTCATCTAAGCAACACCTCTGAGGGGTAGCCAGCAACCTGTTTTGCAGTAAATCTTTGAAACTTTCATGTTGCACTGTTCTTTGCTCAAACAATAGAGATAACTATTTTTTATGTGTTTTGAGCATTTCGGTTGTGAAGATAAGTAGATTTCAGAACGTTATGTTTAGTGTTTACTGCCAACAATGGCACATCATAAATATTTTTAACCTCTTGTAGAAGTGTCTAAAACATGTTGAGATACAGAACCTTGTATTCAGTTTCAGGGCTGGCATATTAAACTGTCTCAGTACTCCCAGGAACATCTGAATAATATCATTACAATGAGTTCAAGGCTTGTATGCGTTTATCTAACCCTGTATTTGCATTCTTAATGTTTTAGGGCATCAATGCTTTAGTAGAGTTTTCAGAAAAGAGCAGTATAGCCTCGTTGCAGGATGTTGTTGGAATCCCAAATGCTGCAGAGCATCATGTTGTCCCATTTAAATCAAGACTTTTTACTTTCACACTGAAAAACCCAGTGAGTCAACCTGCTGAAGAAACACCACTTCACCTCTCTCCTCAGTGTCACATTCCAGTGACAGGCCTTATTCAAAAGCTTTGTCTTGCAGACAATGTAAGTAGAGGTTTCTAGATCTCTCTCAATTAAAAATGAACCATCTTCATTTCAGATTTTCAAGTGGTCATGTGAAACTTAAAAAGCAATTTATTTCTAGTAAAAAAAAAAGTAACCCATATTAGAATTTTATCTGACTATTTCTCCTACATTGAAACAAATCAATTAACTTAGTCATTTTAATTGTGAACATAATTTTTCCATATGAAGGAAACCTGTTTGAAAGTTTAAAAAATAATCTTCTAATTGCAGTGATATTAAGTGGATGAAAATATATGTTAATAGATAGAAGACCGGTTATTGTATATTTACAGTTTTTATTTTCTGAACTAGATAAGCAGTCAGATGTACATTCTACTGAATGAGTATCAGCTTACAGAAGAAAATATCAAGCTCCGATTTCTGGCCTGTTCTTTGGTTGGGGATTTTGCACGGGCATATTTTCCAGACAGCACAGTAAAGCCGTTTGGCTCTTCAGTGAACACCTTTGGCAAACTGGGATGCGATGTGGACATGTTTCTGGACTTCCATGATACACAAAAGAGTCCTACAAAAATGGTAAGGTTGTGCTGTGCATCTTCAGTTTATTGGATTTCTTCAACAGGGCAGCTCATTCACATGCAGGAATCAGTTTATTTATATTCAGGTTTTACATGAATTCATACTATAGATTGTGAACAAGTTAATTTGAATGTTTGGACTTGAAGCCTTTCAAAAGCTGGATGTGACATGAAAGAGATCTTTCTTGTAATAGGAAGAAAATTATTTGGTGTTTGTATAAACTTTGTACTGTTAGGGTGAATTTCACTATGAAAAAAACCCTCATCCTCCAAAATTGATTCAGCAGAGTCAGACCTTCTCATTCTACTATTGCATTTCCTTCTCTGGAGCTGCTGGGTCTCATATCCATGCTCTCTTAAAGCTTGGCTTTGATTTTTAAGGTCCTCCATGTTCTAAAGCATAGTAAGTTTGTGCATGTGTGAGCATATGCATTTTGAGAGGGTTGTCAGGTTCTTTTCCTTAGCTCAAAGAGTTGACTTTATGCTCCAGGAAAGTTACTGGATTATGTACTAAGGTGCATATATATGTATATACACACACACAATAAGAGTGTGTGGAGGTGTGAAGGCTTAGAACCTGGGATAGTGCTGGTGAGTAGTTACAGGTGACACAAATGTTAATATTTTTGTTGTCTGTCCTGAGAAAATGTTAACAGCATCTGATTTTCACTGTGGAGGAGCTTGAGGATAAGCTGGAATATGTGAACTGTAGATGTTTTGGGGCCCAGGACCAAAGAGGAACTGAGACAGATCAATAATCAGATACTTTCAGTTGTCAGACTTTCTGTAAGATACTAATTACTTGAATGCCTCATTGATAATACAACAGTAAAAGCATCAAGACAAGCAGGGATTACTAAGCAAGTGCAGAGGCTTGAAGTTGAAATACAGTCACTTGAATTTGTTGACCAAAGTACAGAATTTGCACCACTGCCTTGAGAAGCTGAGGGTTACAAGACCAACAGTAAGCAAAGTGATCTGCCGAGTTACTATCTTTTTCTTTCTGTTACCTACCTCAGTGCTGAATAGTTACAGGCTCCTTTCACTTTGAGCCAGTCCTACTGTAGCATGCAGCTACACAGCCAGAGGGGATTAGGGACCTCTGTCCTCACATGTTCCAGCACACGTGCTGACTGGAGAGCTGTTGGCAGGAGGAGAGCAGGAATGGTCACCTTGGTGATTGCCAGAGCCACTCAGAAATTCAGCACCTAAAGTGAGTTTGTTGGAAAGGTTGCAAGGTCCATAACTTCTGAATTGTTTCACCCATCTGTGAGTGCACGTTTTCTCTGCACCAATCTGGTGACAAGAAAAATAACCTCTGTGTCTCAGCTGATGAGTTATGTCACTGTAATGCTGTTTGCCTAGTATGCGTTCACCCATGACATGTCCCAAGGGGGAGGATAAGTCAGTGTCAAGTGTTGGATTAGCAAACAAAATTATCTGAGGCTTAAAAACACAGAGAGACTATGAAGAGAACAGATATTTCATAAGTATGAAGTTATTTTATTGAGGTAAAAACTACAAATATGGCAAATCAAACTACAAAGACCTACAGGACAATTAATTTCTGATGTTGTTAGAATATATCTTCACAATATTTTTGTCAGAAAAACTATATGATGTGAAGTGATTATTTCAAGTCTTACAGAGGCTTATCTTAATTTTGAAGGATTAAGTAATTTGCATGCTAAATTTTTTTACACTTTTAATGAAAAAGACGTTTTCCTTTGCATTGCTGGTTGATTCACTAACAACTCGGTGTTCTCTGAGGATTTGAAATAGAATTACTGGTGGCTTGAAATTAACGGTAGTTTGGTTATGTTTTACCCCTCTTTAATTGTATGCTCCTCTTTTGCATTTGGAGCATATATGCTCTCTTGGGAATTCCAGAATTACTTGTTTTAGCCAATAGTGATACATAGTAGTATTATACCTTCATTTGAACAAGTAACTTTACAGTAAGTTGATCACTATTAGCCTGGAAGAATTTAATCACTGAAAAAGAACATAAAAGAGCAATATGTTTTTACCTGTTTTAAGTTCTGTGGATTGCTTTGAATAATTCTTGCCTTTCAATCTCTAGCTGTACGAGCTCCTTTGTAAATTGTTGTAGTCTTTCAGAAGTATTTTTAAATGTCTCTTTTGTTCTAGAGCTAACAGATTGCTTTTAAAATTCTGTGTTAGAAAAAAGGTCCCTTTGAAATGGAGTTTCAGATGAAAAGATTACCATCTGAAAGATTAGCGACTCAGAGGATTCTTTCTGTGATTGGTGATTGCCTTGATAATTTTGGTCCTGGATGTGTGAGTGTACAGAAGATACTCAACGCTCGCTGCCCTCTGGTGAAATTTTCCCATCAACCGACAGGATTCCAGTGTGATCTGTCAGTGAGCAACAGGTGAGACCTGGTTTCAAAAAGTTTAGAAAGAATTCCAAAGTGCCTAAAATGTTCTGAAAACTTGTAACAACAAGTGTTTGAGTCTGCTCTTTTCTGTGTTCTTAACAAATGTGAATGTTGACTCTGAAAGTAAAAAGGAGTTTTTTAACTCCTAGAGCTCAGGTTTTGCTGTGATTATCTTTCTCTAGCATAGGAAATAGGCCTTTTCCTTCTTCCTGAGGGCCTGCATTCACCTGTTTTCTGGGAAAATCCCTGGAAGGGGAGTCTGTGGTCCTGCTGTGGTGCCGCCAGGGGGCGCGGGCTGCCTGGAAATGCCCCTCATGGCTCCGCTCCCTCCGCACCCATTCGGTGACAGCAAAGCACGGAAACTGTCCTGAATTACCCAAAGTTCTGTTTCAGAATGTGCAGAGGTTATTAAGGGAAGATTGAACAAATGTCTTGCAATAAAATTACTTTTCTATATGCAGCCACAGTGAAAGTTGGGATGCAGTTCTGTGCAAGCATCCTTGTAATTCACTGCTGGATGGTTTGCCTGGTTGGGACTGCGCATCTTGTCTTCTTGTCGCTTGGAGTAATAACAAACCTCTGCGGACACCATAAGGCATCTCATGGTTGAAATTACGGAAGTCCAGGTGTTACAAAATTTTGACCTAGCAAACACGTCCAAAAGGCCATGCTGAATTTTTAGAAGAATTCAGCGCAAGTTTTGGAGTAAAATCTGCAACTATAGTTCAACGAGCACTTCAGGCTACAACTGAACCAAAATAAGTTTTACTCTTAACACTGTGCTTCCATTTTTTTTCTACTTTTTCTTGCCCTCCCATTTGTACACTACAAGAATGTTTGTATAACAATGTGATGAAGCAGATCAAAACCTGACCCATCTGAAAACCTTTATCCTTCCAGATTACTGTTTGGTCCTGCTGAAAAAAACAAGTAATCATTTGAAAATTACAAAATTGACTTGGTAGTGTATTTTTCAGTGCAGCATTTTATTACTCTTTAGATGAAAGTTGTAAAAGAAGTATTTTATTATATAGTAGGATAGAGATATTATCTAATGTACCTTGAAGGCAATTGTGGCTAAATTATGTTTTTTCACCTCAATTCTTCATAGCTTGACTCCTGAGTACTTGATGGTGTTTTTTCATTTTTGTTTTTTTTTCTTCTACTGTGATGTGGAACAAGGAAATGGGAAACAGTGCAAATGCAATATTATTATTTACCCAAAACCATATTTTTCTTACTGTGGAAAAGTACATGTATTTCATCCTGGACAATTTCAAGCATTCCAGCCCAAACCATTCTACAATTCTATGATTCTTTTTCTATTTTCTAAAATGCATAAATGTTACTCTTTTTTTTTTAATGGATGCCTTATAATTAACAATGAACATTGCATCTGATACGTCACAATTCTCTGGTCATTTACATGTCTTTTACTTTTCATTTCTTCTTCAGCATTGCTATCAGAAGTTCAGAACTCTTGTATATCTATGGCTGTCTGGATTCCCGTGTACGAGCGCTGGTGTTCACTATACGGTGTTGGGCCCGTGTTCATGGACTTACAAATAGTGCTCCTGGTACCTGGATTACCAACTTCTCTCTGACCATGATGGTCATGTTTTTTCTGCAAAAGAGATCACCACCTATCATTCCAACACTAGACCAACTTAAAGAACTGGCAGGTAAGGGCAGCTGTTTCTCTGTTTATTGCACTTTATTGTTTATTCCATATTTGTTTTCTCTAAAGTGATAAATAAACCCAAGCCATCTCTTTATGCTCTCAAATACTAATAGATATTATGTGTGCCTTAAGTTTGAGGGAATACACAAGTTTTACTTGTATTTTTTGTGAAAATAATGCATTCTTAAATGCAAAATAAATCCATTTTCAGTACAATAGTAAATTCTATATAGAAGGGTTAGACTTACTCTGTGCCTTAGATAATTAAAAGTAATTTATTTGTTCAGTGCTCCTATGCTGAATTTTTTGTTTATTTTGTATTTTATTTTTTAGAAGACTTGTAGGGTCTCAAATGTCTGAAGTTAAGGATTTTGTGCAGATTGATATGATGTGTATTGTTTTATAGATAACAAATGTTAAAAAGAAAGGCTGTATCTTCTCCTCACAATTTGTAATATCCTTGAGATTGTTCAGGCCATCTGCAAATAATTCTTATATCTTTGCAAACCAGCTGTTCTGGCTGTTTCATACACAGCTTTCAGGGTTGATTATCTTCAGAGAATCTTATGAAAGCATAGAGAATGACACCTCAAGTTCTTAATTCTTCATTCATGCCTTCTGCTTACTGACATGCTTCCTTGGAAGCTTTGAGTGCTTTCAGTGGAGAAGAATGCCTGTGTTCAGTTGCTTTAAAATAATTTTAAACATCTGCATCAGAATTCTGTAGAATTTTTTATACATAAAATACCTCTTCTGAGATTTTACAACAATATTCCTAATTCTCTGAAGTTTTGCAGAAAAAGACAGTGGACGCTCTGGGTCTGATTTTTTTGCAACTCTCATGTAGGTATTAACCTCAGAGAGTTGTGCTGTTTAGTGTATAATACAGCCCTGTATGCAGATACCAGCTTGTTACTTAAAAGAAGTAATTTCAGAGATACAAAGATGTCATATACCTTATTCCTGTAGGCTTTTGAAAATATGCCATTTGCTCATGATTCTTTTCCTTTGCCTGTCTGTAGACTTTTTTCTTTTAAATCTTTTACCACTTTAAGTTGAATCTTTAACCTAAAAGTTCACATGTGAACTCCTAATTTTTGTAATATGGTAGCATTCATTGATTTCAGTCATGTCTGTTATCTGAATTTCATTAAATACAACGGCATTTTATTGTTTATTGTGTCAAAATATGCCCATTTTTTTTCAGGTGCAAAAGACAAGCATATAATTGGAGGATATGATTGCTCATTTGTTAGTGATTTAAGGAAGATTAAACCTACAAAAAATACAGAAACACTTGGTAGGTATATCTCCATCAATTTTTTTTTTAATGAGCATATTGAAAATAAACTTTTCCTTAATGTTACTCATGGCCCTTGTTTTTCTTTCCCTTAGATGTATTGTTGGGTGAGTTTTTTGAATATTTTGGAAACTTTGATTTCAGAAGGAATTCCATAAATCTTCGAAAGGTAAACGAGTTTTAATTGCTCATCATTATCAATTGAATCTCACCATCTGCCACTTGATAAACTACATATGCTAAGCAACAATTTCTGTCATTTTTCGTTGTATATAAAAAGTACATTTATGCAGAAACTGAGTTCTTTCTGTGAAGGATGAATGTTTTCCTCTTAGAGCCTAATAACTTACAATACCATTAAGAACATTTACAGTGTCATTACCTGGATATGTTGGAAAGCACAAAATCATGTTAAGCCTCTATGATTTTACTTGAAAGCCCTGTAATGAAAGTGGCAGTTTGAAAAAGTCAAAGCTATTTTGCTTCTGTGAGAAGAAAACTTTTAAAATGGGTCTGGGAGTCCAGACCCAGTGAGAGTCTGCATTAAAACTTACAGCTGAGTTCTGAGTTTGCTATTGGCACTTGCGTTTTCCACTGCAGTTTGTATCAGCCTACGGTAACTGTATGTACAACTCAGTAAGCAGGGCATAACACGATTATTCTCTGCTATTCCCTTCAGTTTGCTTTATATGTTTAAGTTATCCTATTTATTGATCCATGTATGTGTGCATGCAAGTATAATAGAAATATATGAAAATATAACTACCCTAATTCGTATCTGTTCCTGCTGGGCTGCTGACAGTTTGGGGGTTCCAGTGCCATGTTGCTGTGTGGACACCTGTTTGTGTCCTGTTTCCTGTTTGAGCACTGTGGATCACTGGCACAAGAGCTCTTTTTGCAGTTGCAGGTTGATCCTAGAAACTGATTCATTAAGGTGGAGAACTTCTGTTTGCCACTAAGCCGTAAAAAGACAAGCAAAACCATGAGTTTGGAGCCTGAGCTAGTTAAGGGAAGTGTCTGTGCTGCTGAGGTTTTTCTGTTTAACTAGTCTGTCCTCTTGGTCCTGGGGCAAGAGTATGTATCATGTACATAAACACTTCCTGGACCAGCAGTAGCTGGTGGGTTCCTTCTACAGCTTGTGATAGAAGGCTTGAAGAGGTTCTGGAATACCGAACAGGTCAGCTAAGTAGCACTGATAAGCACTGAGATGGAAGTGCATTTAAATAGCAAACCTACACAGTTGTCAACTACATGTGTTGTACAATACCAAGTGACCAAAAGTGAACCATGACCTCAATAGCTCTGTGCTTAAAAGACAGACCAAACTGGGAGGGATTTCAGCCAAGGCAGTAATCTTGTTTAGTTACAGTAGCTCTGTGAGCTCTCTGAGCACTGTGGGATGAATGGTTTGAACAGTTCAAGTGCTTGCAATAGTTTATCAAACTGGGCTATGCAGGTTCATATGACACACTCATGCTGCCCATACATAGAGATAGGAGAAGGGGATTGCAATGGGTGAGGTCTGAGGTTTGTTGAAAAGCAAATGGGAGAATGGCCAAAAAGACAGGTTAAGCTGTAGTTGCGTGTTCTTTGCCTTGAAGGAAACCTAAGCTGAATGTGGCAAAGAAAACCACCACTAAGAGGATTCAGAGAACAGGAATCATACAGTCAGGTTGACAGGGAAATTAACTTGATTAATAACGACTGGGTATTTTGCAAAAAGTTCTCTAGTAAGTCAAAACACTTTTAATGCTCATGTAATAAGTCAAGTGATTTGTTATTTGCTCAGCCTATAGTACATATATGCAACTTCTGCTTTTTCTTTACACTGTCTGCAGGGAAAGGAAGTAAATAAACCTGAGTCATCTCCTCTGTATATCTGGAATCCCTTTGAACAAGACCTTAATATCAGCAAGAATGTTAATCAGCCACAGCTGGAGAAATTCATAGCTATGGCCAGAGAAAGTGCCTGGATTTTACAGAAGGAAGATAAAACTCAGAGAATAATCAGTAAAGAACCTTGGGGACTGGCAGCACTGCTGATACCATTTGGAAAAAGTAATTCCAGCAAGATGAAGAATAGGATGAAAGGAATAGGAAGTGAAACAATCAGAAGCCTCTTGGACTCTTTAAAGTTAAATAATGCAAACAGCCAACAAAAAGCAGTGGGAAAATGACTTTCAGCACATAAACACAGTAGCTAATATTCTGTTTTAGGAACTGGATGTGACACGCAGTCCGAAGAACATAACTTTTAATATTTCTGTTATGGGGAATGGAGAGTCAAATGATCTCTCTTTTTCATTGTGATTCTTTTTGTACAGGTCTCCTTTCTGTACATTTTTCTCCTCCTTGCTCTTCACTTTTCCATCTGCTTTATGAATGAAGAATATTCAAATGCAAGTTTTTTCGGTACATTTTTGAAATAGCCTTCAGACTGACAGGAGCAGCATGGGAAAGAGCCTTTGGGAATTCTGTTGGCTAACATACAAATTATATGCTAAGTAAAAGCTCAAGAAACAGCCACCTTTCAGTGAAACCACAGTTTGAAAGAAGATGAATGTGTTGGAACCATTGCTTCCAATCCAGTCATGTACTGAAAGCCAGTAAAACCGAAGTGCATGCATCTGTTTTTGCTACTGTTTTTCATTCATGTAGATAGTGCCAAGACAAAATAAAGAGAATGGAGTTAGATAGTAGGGTTTGCAGTTTCCTAAAGCATTGCTCTCCAAGGGTAGTGCAACTGTTTTGCGTTGGAGAAGTGGGTTTGCTCTTGTATTTACCACCTGATTTCAAATTTATTTAGTCAGCTCTCCTTTGTTTTCTGTACCCATAGGACTGGTCCCCACCCACATTTGTATAATGTTTCTCATTTTGCCTTCAGCTTCATTTTAAACCTGTATTTCAGGTTCAGGCAGGGGCTCTTCTATGCTCTTCTTGCTTCATCACTCTATTCATAGTTGCTGCCTACTAAGTGACACCAAAGCCTTCCTGCAGAGGGATCTATCCCATGCAGAGATCCATAGAGAATTATGTATCATGCTGGAGTCCTGTTCCCAGTCTTGCCTTGGTTTTCACATACTCAGCAAAATGGTGACTGTCTCCCTTCCAGATCAGTTGGGCCAGTAGAGTCAATGCTTTTCATTGGCTTAAAACATTGAGTGCTCTCTGTCCATCTGCCACAAAAAGGAGTGTTTTCAGAAGAAGGGAGAAAGGGGAGGGAAGGAAGAAAGGAAAGAAATCAAAAAGGGAAATGGAAAGCAGGCAAACATCAGACTTTACAAGTACATTTGTGAGTATTTCACCTGTCCAGTTTGAGAGCCACTCATGCATTATAACTAAATGGCAACGGTGACAACTCCACAGATTGTTGTCTTTATTCTTAACAGAAATTCTGTAAACAAAATTACGTTGTTCAGATTATCATACAGCTGCAACATCAGTCCTTATGATTACTGTTTCAATTTCAATATTTTTAGATTCTTTCATGTTGCAATGGTATATGATTTTTTGTAGACTTCCCTTCTAATTGTGTAGTCTGAAGTCTTTTCCCTCATGTATTATTCATTGAAAATACTGTAATAGGCAGTAATGCATACTTCCAAAGTACTGGTAAAAACCAGACAAGGCAAAGTATTTTCCAGCAGTTGACAGACTAAAGGGTTAGACTTTGAGATCAATTCCATATTAGTTTATTCAGAGTTTAAAATAATACTCAAATATATCTTGTTTCTGATTAATAAATGTTTTCTCTAATAATGACTCACGTAGTCATTATCTCAATTGCTGAAATTGATTCTCATATTAACTCCTTCAAGATTAAACCTTGAATTTGAAACTTAGTTTTCTTTCTAAATCCTGATATTAGAACTTCTTTTTGGAGGCTGATATGCAGCTTATTGTAACTTTTTATCAGTGCTAACCCAAAGCCTTTGAAAACAAGCTTGGCACAATGCTGTAAGGAGCCTGTTGCTGCCTTAATCTTTACTGGAAAATGTACCTAGAAGTACATTTTCTGTTGTTTACCCAGCAACAGACTTTGAAGCTTTTTGAAGACTAGGGCAGTACTCAAGTAGTTGTGAGTTTTCTTTTTTCTAGATAAACCAAATGGGTAAGGGTGCAATAATAAGAAAATGGGTTACCAGGGAGAGAAGCATGCAGCAGAACTGTGGTGGTGGCTACCCACGTGCATTATATTCACAGTGGTCCACTGACATGGGTAGGAAAGATTTTATATGAATTTTGACACGTAGATACAGGACACTTCTAGACAAATAACAATACATTTTATATTCTGGTTATATGGTTGAGGCATGCTGAAGCACAAGCTTCATTTGTAAATGGTTATAGATGTTCAAGCTGCTCAGTATTCCTTAAAAGGCAGGGCAGAACACCATTACTGTACATGCAGTGCCTTTCAGCATCACTTTTCTGTTTAGACTGCCTGTCCCTTTTGGGAATGGTTCTGAACCCTTGTCATGGCTGCAGGCCAGTTTCTGAAAAGAGGAGAAAGAAGCCAAAAGCAGTGTTGTAGCAATGGAATGCACAGGTGATTTTTTCAGATGCCTGCAAGTCCAGGGGGCTGGAGACCAGGGAGCTGCTGACTGAAACCTTGAGGCTTTGAGGATCAGCTCTCATTGATGATGTCAATAAGCCCAGTGGACAGCTTTCATAGAGGAGCCTGGAGATGGAGATGGAGGGCCGACCATGAGCTTCCCTAGAGCATGAGCTGTGTCTGGGAGAAGAGCTGAGTGATGCTAGAGGAACTGAAGCCACCTGTGGGAAGAGAACCAAGATTTGAGAGAGTGTATTTATCAAATCAAGAGAGATGATGTGAATATAATTTCCTAGGGGCTGCAGTCTTGAAGATAGTTAGAAAAAACCAATATGGTTCTGTCAGTGAAAACAACGTTTGGATGTTTGTCAAGAAAGGACTATGATTATGGTCTGCATTTGAGAGCTCATTCATATGGTCCAAAAGCATGTAAACAATGTCTCTGTGAGAGTGAGGCAGTAAGTTTTAGTTACTTCTCAAAGTTGGTGCTGATATGCTGTATTGTATGGTGAGGCTGTTAGGGAGGTCACATGTAAGGAACATGAGTGAATTAAACACATTTTTGCCCCTCTGCCCCTTTCCCTTGCTGGGAATACTTTTTAGTGCAGTCTCACATTTCCTGGCTCTTAAGTGGTTAGGGAAACTGAAAACATTCAGAAGTTCCATGCCCTGAGAAAATATACTTCAAGACATTAACTTCAAATTAACATTTATTGCCAGAGATTTTTATTTCCCTAGACGTTGATGCTCGCAAGTGTTGCAGTCATAGGTTCTGCTGCAACTGCCACTGCTCCATCGTTCCTCTGTAACTTCCTGGGAATCTGAAGCCTTGGCCTACAGTTGACTGCTGGATGAGCCTCTCTGTGTCATGCTTGTGGTGAAGACACAGTCACCAAAACAGACTTCTTGACTGGTAACAGATGCTCTATTCCTCTCCCTCAATTTCAAAGTACAGTTCCTGTCTGGGTTTCTGTTCTTTAGACTTTGAATCACAGTATAATTCAGGCTGGGAGAGAACTCTGGACCTAGTCCAGCTGCCTTTTTAAGCGGTATCAGCTCTGAGATTAGACCAGGACTTTTATCTAGTCAGGCCTTGAAATCTCCAAGGATGGAGACTGCACAGCCTCTCCAGACAACCTGTTCCAATGCTCGACTCTCCCTGTCACCCTGATGGGCTGGGCTGTAACAGACTACCATATCCTTGTCACTCTTCCTGGCTTCTTTTCTGATCCTGACAAATGCTATCAATCAGATTGCCATCCATTACAAATATTCAAGCTGCTCCTTTGTGTAGGAAGCCCCCTGAGTCTTCCCTTCTTTCCCTGTCTTTCCAGAGGAACTTGTATCCATCCGTCGCAGTGCTCCCATCACATGTGATACTTCCCATTGTAGCTGTTACTCCAACAGTGCTGTAGTAACAGCACAAGGAGCTCTAGTTCCTCTTGCTTGTTCCCCAGGCTGCCACACATTTGTATCTGTACATTTGAGGTGGGTACCTGTTAATAATTTTTTATTATTCTTGAGGTCCCTTTTGTTCCTGTCACCCTGTATCCTTTTCTCTCAATCCATGTCCACAAGCTGGCATAAGTGGAGATTGTCATTGTCCTCCCTTATTGTTCTGGCTGAATGCCTTGATATAGCCACTGCACAAATCCAGGTTACAAAGTCCTCATGACATTCAAATCCTGACTAAAAATTAATTTCTAAAAGACTCTGCAGGAAAATAAGAGTCCCTGAGTACCAGACTGGTATATTGTACTGGCAGAAAAGCCCCAGAAAATACATTTGTGCTGCTGTAGTGGAGCGTGATGGAAACATCCCAGGTAGCCACAGCTGTGCTGGTGCAGCTGCAGAAAAGCACATAACACCACGTAGAGATACTGGTGCAGTTGTGGAATCATCTTAGGGCACAGTGCTGCATCTACAGGACCTCATTGCTTCCACAACTGCACTAGTGTGGTAGAGGATGCTGCTGCCTGGCAGAGCTTGTCCACTTGGATTTGGCACATTTCTGGTGCTGTGTCACCTCTGGGTCTAGAGCAGTTGGGCTCTCAGCTGCAGCCTCACTGTGCTCTGTGCTCACGCTGGGTCTGTGGTCATTGAGGAATTGTGTTCTTAGAACAGCATGGTCTTGTAGATTTGTTTCTAAGTTTAATTTCTTTTCGTCTCTCTAGCAGGACAGGCTATGTTTTTTCTTAAAATTTTGTCCCTTTGGGAAAAGGAAAGGTAGACAAACAGCCTTTATTGGAATGGTTTTGCCAACAAACTAGTTAAAGGTCCATGCCAAGTTCAGCTGCAGCAAGTTCAGGATTTCCAGCCTGGGCTGCTTTGAAAATATGATGAATCAACAATTAGGAAGTTTTTAAAAGTGAAATCATCCTGTTCATTGGAAAGCTCTCTCTTCCAAATGCTTTGCCTTGCTTATCACAAAATTACCACCAAGGTTTTCTTCTAGTACAAAATTCTTCTGAACGTCACGGGTAATTTGGGGTCAGTTTGTTTAAAACAAGGGTTAGGATTTATACGAGGCTAACCTGTGCCTGGAGATAAAATCTCCTTCTCCATAAATCCTCTTAGTTGAAAGTCTTGATCCACTGCTTTTGCAGACCTGTTTCTCATACTTTCTTTAATCAGAGGATTGGTTTGCTTCCTTCTGCAGGACCTCCCTGCTTCTTTTCCCTCTCCTCATTGTCTTTTCATCATATCTTATCTGATCTGATCTGTAAAGAATAGTATTTCACTTGGCCCCTAGTATTTGTGGAGCAATAGTGAATACAGCTGCATTCAAGAAACAGGTAGTTTTTAAAATGTGACTCTCACATTGCAATCTAATTATTTTTTTTTTTACTGCTTCACTCCTTGTGTAGATTGAGTCTCCATACTGCATTTCCCATGGCTCATAGAGGGATCAATTAGCTGGACTTGATGGGCCTCACCTATATTGACCATATATTTTTGGGAAGTCTTTTCATTTAAGAAACTTGTTTAACACAGTCTGTTGTATTAGAAAGAAGTTCCCTGCAAATTTTTTGAGAGGTGCTTTATCCTTCAAGATTATTTCTGTTTTCCCTTGTTGTTATGGAGAAAACTATGTTCAATTTGTTTCACAGAATGACTTCAGAGATAGGTTTTTGTTCCCATGCTGAGCTCTCTTGTACATACAGATTTGTAGTCAATGTAAACAGTGCAGTCCTGTACAGGAATTTTTGCATGGAACAACTCCCAGAATATGTCTTCTAGGTATTATCCTCCCAGCCCAACAGGGGCGGTAAAAGGCCCACAAATTACTAAGGCATAGCCTCTCATTTGTGGTGCTGTCTGCATGGGATGGGACAATTCCCATAATTCTGTATTGCTTTTCTCATGTTGGACATAGGAAAAACTGTTTTCCTGCAGAGAAAAGGTACATATGTTAGAAGTTGGATTGTTGGAGTATTATTTAAATTCTTTCTGAATATTTCCATCTTAAGTTTGTTTTTTTAAGTCCTTCTCTAGGAGCAATTTACTAGAGATTTTCAGGATGAGAGCAAGAACTGGGAGCATATACAAAGGCTTCGTATTTCAGGTAATCAGATAAATAGTACTTAGATTATCAAAAATAGTTATACAGGGGAAAATAATGCATATAACAATCTGGTAATAAACAAGGAACACTGCCTTGTCTCTTTGAACCAGTTTTCCTGCCTTGATTTTCTGTAGTCCTCCCAGTGGTGCACTGCTTTTATACAAGGGTTGGATTTGGGAGAGCATACTGAACGGAAACTACAGTACCCAGTACATGGGAGGGTGAGTATTTAGCCACTGCA